TAAATGAGAAATAGTTAATAAATTGTAAAGAGGGCCGTGATATTTTTGTCAAATTGGACATTCTTATTTCATAACATTCTACATTAGTTTTAATCAACAGAATAAACCATTATCTGTAAAATTATATTTATATAAAATGTTCATTTAAATATGTAAAAATCTTAATGACAAGAAAACACTAAAGATTCTAATTTCTAAACCGGTTCTGTAAATGATTTCTTTACAACTAAGTGCTAAAAATGATACAAGCTAGATAAAAAGAAAACTTTGCCCAGTGAAATACGCTTTTCGTCGTCTGATTTACATATGGATAAGCAATCTTTGTAATTATGTATATCATTGGGTGTGAGGCATAATTGTGCTCTGTGGAAATTTATAAAATTTCTTTACTATCGAATGAAATCCAGGTTTCTAAAGTGATGTGTTTGTACATCCACGGATGCAACAAGTTTTTTCGATATTGATATTACGAAAATAATTCGATTTCATTTTATTAATAATTATTAAACAATAAATGCCGTATAAAACATTAATAAATACCCCCCAAAAAGTTCACATTTTTGTCACCAGTTAGCGTTAAAGTCATGACGCACGGTCCCTATTTTATTATTTTCAATAAAGGAATAAATATTAAATTTATCTTGCCAATAAGTATAAAATATTATTAAGCTTTAATTTTCTAATATCACCTTTTGTTCATGATATAGCCATTGTAAGTTCTTTAATTGCCAACTCCTATGTGTAAGTTTTATCTATTTTTGTCCTATTCCAGTAAATGTTATAATTAAATAGAGGTCAACAATATTAACATTGTAAAATTTTGTAGGGAAGCCTTTATAACTTCTTTTAAAGAAATTTTAACGTAAACTTCAATTTATTGTGGCTAAATACGTTTTTGGTATTTAAATGTATTTCTGTACGCCTATAAGACGAACCTCTGATAAATAAATTTCTAAGTTAAATTTGTAAAATGATGAATGAAAACACACCGGTTTACAACTTTTACAAATATTGATTTTCTTATTGGCGGTTGTTAGATTTCACATCTCGTATGAGAACGATTTTATTACTACTAGAAGCTATTTTCAAACTCTTCTCTCAAGAGAAATGTCATACGTCAACGTAAAACAGTATTTTTAGGGCCCTTAAGGTACCATTTCGGAAGGCACGACGGCAAGGACGACAGATGCATTAACGTAACGTTTGGGAAGCCCTTGCTTCAATGATACAACCACAGACGACAATTCGAGTGAACGACCAGTGTTGTCAGACATTAAGTAGGTAGATGAATGTCTGGACAGCTTAAATGGCAGCACAGAGTTCCCACCTACTAGAAAAGAAGTAAAATGTATGCTGAGTAAAAAATCTCTGCACATGTAGTATTGGCAAAGGACTTTTGAAATTATTAGAGATTGGCTATTTTTTACATACACCTACCTCTAATAGCCACTCTAGTGGCTATTAGAAGATTGTAGTCATTTAAAGAAGAAAAAATGAATCACAAAAGGGCAGAATTTTAAATCAGGATGCATTGGAAAATAAATTTGGGGATATCAGGTCGGTTTTGGATTTTAGAGAGAGATCAATCTCAAGAAAAGGTTATTTATCCTGCAGAACAACTAGTAGTTTAGGTAGGATCTGCTATAACTTTATTAGAAGATTTCCTTGATAATAAATTGTAATATACCAATTGTTTTAAATGAAATTCAAAAAGAGTTAAATTCGAAATTAGATTTTTCATGGGTAAAATGTTATATTCATTCAAACATCGTAAGGTTATCTATAATTAAGGGAGTATGGAAAATAGGTCCCAAGTAACATTTTTAGGAGAAACAAGTTTTATTTGTTTTATAAGGATTTTGTAAGAGCATAAAAATTAATAATGATTAAAGGGGCTATGATTGACAACTTGTGTTATTTTTAACAGGTCTGTTATTTTATAAACACAGAAATAACAATTTAATAACATTTAAGACCTTCTAGACAACATAAAATCATAAGTGTTACATATGGTTGAACTCGTATTGAATAGGAGATTCCAATAATAACTTAATATACAGGGTGATCAATTTGAAAAACCAAAGTGACTTATAATATAAGAGAAACGGAAAATCTGGCAACATTGCAAATATCAAATCTGGAATCTCCGTATCCCAAAATAGGTGTACCCCAAATTTTGTACAAGTAGGACTAGCAATTTACGAGATAATTGGCCGTTTCCAGACTTTTGGGCCACTCTGAATATTAAAAATGTTTTTATTTGTTTTTATTCTTTGTTTACTTTCTAATTTGGGTAGAAAGATGTTTATTTTTCGTTTCTTATATACTTGTTTTATTTTTATTTACTACACTGCAAATTATAATTATTTACCTCTGTATTAAAATTTACTGTCCAGATCTACGTTTTTTTTTTCGCCCATACTGTTTGAGCAAATGTTCATCTGGCAACACCGCCCAGGATAGACTTCGCAAATACCATTTCTATAAAATATCGACTAATTACCTCGAAATACAAGCGAATACTAAGCGAGGCAGAAAACGCTACCCCGAGACCGACCTATTTGTCGTCGACTTGTCTTTCGGACGCGCCTTGCGAAATGTGTTTCATATAATTGCGCATGTGTTCAGACGTGAAGAGACCGTTCTTGGTCTCCTTTCCGTCACGTCTGCCGTCGCCTCTGTTGTCGTATGTCGCGCGTTCCGAAATGGTACCTTTGGGCCAGTGTGAACTCACTGACTGTTTCTCTCGGTTTATTTAGAGAGAATTAAAATTCTCCTAAGAATTTTAATCCTCGAGGCATTTAAAAACAGCGTTTCCACATTGACGTATGACATTTCTGAGAATCTTGAGAGAAATGAAGTGCTCCATGCTTTGAAAATAGGTCCCCTGGTACCCTATTCTCGAACTCATGAGCGCTCCTCATAATAGGCTCCTCCACTCTCCTACTCGACGGCGAGTCGACTGCTTCATCACCAGTGTTGCCAGAGACGATCAAAATTAAATTGTACAATGCTGTAGAAATTATCTTTTTTGTTTTCTCATTATTTTAACGAAATTAACCTTACTAGTGTGACGTTATCGGAGGCTGGTTATTTTAAGAGTTTATGGGATTAGGGTTAAGATAATTAGATAATTTTATTGAATAAATATATAAAAAAACAAAATAAAAAATAACCCATTCTTGTTCAACTTAATTTTCAAAAATAATTTATTTTTCTTGTAATCATGTAATCCTTTCTGATTTTGATCTCCCAATTGTTTTTGCCTATACATTTTTAAAGATGTCATGAATTTTATCATTACTTCATATGTAGTCGAGATCGCCTAGCGCAAAATTAATAAATGGTGTATAGCGGGTTGCGAAAAATAAATTATTAATATTATGGACGTCTTTTGAATGTCCAGTATTGAACGTCCAAATATGATCCAGAATTGGACGTCCTATGAACAGTCAAAAGTGTGCCATTTGTATACTTCACTGGACGTCGGAAATCCAGAAAAAACTCATCTTTGGACGTCCAGGCATCTAAAATTGTATATCGAATGGACGTCCAATGATTTTTGCTGTCTGGGTACTACATGTTTTAGTAATACATTAGTACAGACGTAGGATTTAAAATATTTTTAGTTACAGGGTGATTCACAAATGTAAAATGGTAGTTTTTCCAAAATCTCACTAATTTTACTGTGACGTCAGGGAAGCATATTTTTAAAAAATACTACACAATATGGCATTTTGGCAACAAAATATTACCAAATACATTTCCTCTAATAGAAACAGTTATTGTTTATTTTAAAATCTTATGGTTACATACCTACCTAATGTAATATTAACTTACTCAAAAGAGAGAGTACTCTTACACTCATTTTCCCATAGTTGGAGAATAGGCTCCCTGTTAAGAACATCATAAACTTGGCTACAATGTTCAATCAGACGTTTGTATTTCTGCCGAAGACGCTTAGCGTTGGCTTCAGAAATTTTGTAAACAATCCTATCTGTCTTGGTTATATATCTTTGGTAATATTTTTTTGGGCATTGAGATTACATTGCTGGCAGTTTTCAAGTGCGCTGCTATTTTTAGCGTTTTTGCGGTTTCCCGCCTAATATGTCATTACACTTACTCGTATAAAACAGTACAATAAACTATTAAAATAAAGTATGCCCAGTACTTGAAAATATGTTCTAGAGTTATTTTTATAATTTTATAAACAGCTTATAAAACGACTAGCGTTTCCAGTTTCGATTTTTTTTTTTGTAAAATTGTTTCAATCTATCTCTAGCCAAGAGATAACAGCACCCACCTCATGGATATAATCGAATTTGACGTAAATTAGTTCAGAAATCAGTAGGAGAATATAAAAGCCGGACGTCTACGGTTTCATGAGATTAATTTTCTTGCTACAACGATTCCCTATAGAAAAAACGCCCTTATTTCTGTATTATTTATTAAAAAGAAGACATACAAAAAATATAATTTAGAGATAAAATTATGATTTCAGATCTATACAATGTTTATTTATATAAAAATAAAAATAGACAGCAACAAAAATATCTCTTATATTAATTATTATATTAAAATATAAAGTCTTATTTGATCATAGAATTAAAGTTAGTGGAAACATTAAACACAACATACTAAAATTCTAGTAAAATTGTAACAACTATACCTACAGTCTATATAAATAATAGCGAGCTGTCTGAATTAATATTTTAATGTTGATTTTTTTTTTTAATTAAAAAGACAGATATTTTTTAAAACTACCAGATCAACCGGTATAGGTTAAAAATAAAAATTTGGTACCAAAAATGTTAACTATTCACGATTCTTAGTCAATTTTTTAAAAATAAGTAAATTCATGACCGGTTTTCTAAGAAATGAGGTACTTAATACATTTTTCTTTAGTATATCGATGGCTTAATTCTAACAAGTCGTAACCCATAATTTTTACTAAAACCTCTTTTCTCAAATAAAATTATTTCTAGTTGATTCCCGCGATTTCTAACAAGTTCTAACACGCACGATACATGTGTCAGGAGAGTTTTTTGGCTCTACTGTAAAATTTATTTATGGGTTACGAGGTGTTAGAATCGATATTGAAATAAAAACTCGTTCGATCAATACTTTTTCTGAAAATGTCAAATTGTTAATAAAATACATTTTTAAAATCGTATGATTTCCAGATAATGGTTTGAGTTGATTTTTTATCTGGGGTCATATTAAATCAATTGTTTTTATGAGACACTTGTCAACAAAGAAGAAGGGTTAATTGCCAGAATTATTCCTACTTATTTATCATACAATGATAAATAAATTTTATTAGATATTCGTTGATACACAAAAATAGTGACACATCACAAAAACGTTGATTTTCGAGGACATTGATTTGAAAGTTTCTTGTATATTTCACACCAATTGATAATAACTTTTAATCAATAATGTCCTAATTTGACTTGTGCCACTGTTGAAAATGTTTTTAATTTATTTTTAATAACACTGGCATATTTTGATTTATGTCCCTCTAGCCGAAAATTGGCGATATTGTCTCACTGACTGTCGAAGCTCAACTAGATTTGTGTCATTCTTCATCATCATAAACTGGCGATTTTGTAGTAAGGGAAGAAATACGCAACCACTTACCAGCGGTCATTTTTGAAAATAGTAAACATAAGTGGGGATTTTGCTAAACATTTTCAAAATAAGCACGAAATCGGACATTTTTGAGATATGTCACTATTCTTGTGCACCAACATATTGCTTGAATGTATCCATATAATTTCAATATGGAACCATCTTGGACACCACTATAATGGTATTAATGCTCAATATAATAAGACTACTTTTGTTGTAGCATTGTTTATTCAATTGACATTTGACAGTAAGTTATTAAAACTATTTAAGTTTTTTTATTTTAAACAAACGAATCCATTAACTCTCGCAATTTCTTTATTATTAAAGTGTTTTAATTACTTGATTTCCATCAAATCTGAAAAGCAGGATTATTATGAAACACCCTATGTGATGTGTGATCTACTGTATGTATGTATGTCATCTGTCAATTCTTTGTCACATAAATAGCAACAGATTTTTGAAAGACGTCAATGAATTTGTCATCTGTCAAATGTCAACTAAGTATCATCTAAATGGGAAAGCACCGTTCCATAAATGCATGATTTTGTGCATGTATACAATTAAAAAAAATATGATGAGTATACTCATTTCGAATTAGGACACATTAGGAACTTTGGAACAACTGACTAAGAACCACCGAATATCTCAATGTCGCTCTCGATTTTGTACAGTCTGTAGGCTATTTAGAAAGCATAATAATATGTACTTAATTTGTTATTGCACAAACTTCAGTATAAATAAAACGAGGCATTAATTCTACGGATCAACGAACGAGATCATAATGTATCTGGTACCGCTCGTAACTTTAAGGCCTTCGTGGAAATGCGTTAATCTACCCGGATGGATCAGAAGCCACCCCTGCTTCGTATCGACCACGCTGCAATTGTATCGGATGAATCTGCAGCCGCCTCCTTCGTAATCGATGTTGCGGCGATTCAGAGCAATGTTAATCGTGTATGTTGAACTGTCATGGTGAGGTCTCAGGGAGGGTTGCTCGTCCGGTCTGTATCTGCAATGGAATTATTGTATTTATACATTGTTGTTATATTATTAATTCCTCTTTAAAAAATGGTACATTTTCAGCAGATTTAAAAATTAGTAGGGTTATACCTATTGAAAAAATATTTAATTTACCCTGTGCTGAAAAATGTAATAGTAGTTTATCAACAGTTGTTGGAATATATAAAAAAAAGATTCTTGTCAAATATGGAATGGGACGTTTAGATGAGTAAAGACATGCACACTATCATAGCCCGTAGCAGTATTCTTAGATTTTAAACTGCCAGTCGTGAACTATTAATCAAAAAATATAAATATACATATAAAATCGGAGTGATGTCATCGAATGAAAAAGCGAGCTGAGAGACAATATTCTACTTAGTACGTTAGTTTTTTTAAAAAAATCTAACATTTTATTGTTATTTAGTGGTGTTTATATTTTTATTTTTGGACTATTTTCTAGTGTTAGAGTTTTTATAATATCGGTAGTTTGATCTTTTGAGCAACAAAACAGCAAGGAAAAATTATGTAATGATTTCCACAAAATTTCAAATGAGAGTCGTTCCATATCAAAACAACCCGAGGTGTGGCAGACCATCTCACCGATTTTGATAAAATTTGGTACACTGATTCTCTATATGGGTGGAATGACAAATCCAAAATATTTTTTTTAGTATTTTTTTTATTAATTTTCAAAAATCGAAAAATTGTCCAATTTTGGTCCAACACAATATGTTCACAAAAATTTGAATATTTTGAGGACCACTTAGCGTAGATCGATGAGATATAGCTCGCTGTAAAGGTCATTCAAATATCTTTCCAAAGATGTGTCACGTGATTTATTTTATTCTTGTTTTTTTTTTTAATTTTGAAAACATTTTTTGATTTTTTTCAAAAGTAATTTTTGAATTTTTTGTGAAAAAGTATTTTTTTTATCAATACTTTGGAAAAATATGTGCCAAATTTCAAGATGGAGAAATTATGGGTTTACGGCAAAAAAAAACAAAAACCAAATAAAAGCAGCAAAAAATGTGCTCTCATATAAAAATTAAGCTAGGAATGAAGATTTGTGATGGGTGTCGAATCAGACTTATGAAAAGTTCAAAGAAAAGTAATTCACAATAATTGATTTATGTATATTTTCATAGTTTGTTAAAAAAATAATTATTATTGATAGGAAACAAGCCAAAACATTGTTTCTAATATCTATTGCATGGTATATTTAGGTACCATCAACTACCTTTGATTTCCCCAATTTTAAATTTGGATCAGAAGAGTCGCTGGAAGTTCTTAATCAGTTGCTTGTGCTCTTGAGAGAATCTCCCATCAAAAAGAAAAACTAATTAATCAGAAAGCTGAAAAAGTGAAGTGAAAAAATGTTGGTTAAAGAAAGACATGTAAAATTAGAAGAAATCCCCGTGCCTGCTAATAGTGCCAATGAACATGATTGTGAGATAGTAAAGCAACTAAAAGTAAAATTTGCTGAAATCACCAAAACAAGTGAGAAAATGCTGGTGTTGTCAGTTCTGCCAATTAGTTTGATCAGAGCACACATTCAGAAAGAGTTTGGTGTGTCTCAATATATGGCAAGGGCAGTTTTTCTACGAGCAATCCGAAACCAGGAAAAACCATTTCAAATGATATTGTTACACTAGTTAGAGAATTTTATTTAAGAGACGATATAAGCAGAATGATGCCGGGAAACTTTTTTCCTGTGTAGTAATAAAAAAAAGACCGCAAAGAATATATGCAAAAAAATTGCTTTTGGCCAACTTAAAAGAAGTTTATGCTTTGTTTAAAAATGAGTACCCAGAAATAAAAATTGGCTTCGCCAAATTTTACGAACTTAAACCAGAATACTGCATCTTTGCCGGAAAAAGTGGCACACATTCAGTATGCGTTTGCCTCATCCCTTAAAATATTAAATTGATGATGAGTGGTTCCAAAATTCACACCCTTAAGTATCGGAACTCAATTAATAAACACCCTAACCACATTTCGAATATTTTTCTACTCTGTTGTACACATCTGACTTTAATAAAATGAATAGAACCTGATATTTTCACAAATTAATTGTCACCCTGAATTTGTAAATTTGTAACCTTAGACTTTTCTTACCTGACAACAAAGTTCATCAACGATTTAGGCGGGTCGTGGTAATACCCAGTGAACACCTTTTCCTGCAAAGGTCTGACGTATTTCTGTAAGAATTCCAACCAGTGCGGTTCCCAACCAACTTGGTTCATGTGGATGTCTCTGGTCGGGACAGCTTCATAACCACCTGCTAAACGTTCATCGGTATTGGTTCCCGAAGACCATTGACCGAAGGCTTCCATCATGTTGATGAGGGAGTTGCAGAAACGCGGGGACACTATCGGGAACCAATATACGTCTGGGCAAGGCTGAAAAAAGTTAGAGTCGTTCTTCGATAAGAACAGTGTAATTAACAATAAGTGCAATCTTAAATAAATAAATGTGGTGAGTGTGCAGGTTAAATGACTGTATCTCCAAGCTTTTAGTATGTATCCAAAAGATAGGTGAATTGGTATGGTTCAATAAATCTTTATAGTGTAAATAGCTTAGATGGTATGTAGTTGTTCAGTTTTAATATATTAGTATTTATTTATTGAATAACATACTGGATATCTCAATTACAATAAAAAATATACAAAAAACCATTTTAAAGGTAACATATTAATTTGCAACTTTCATTATACAAATTAAAGGCGTTTTCTAATATTCATCGATGCCATCCAACATTCATCAAAACTGTTGTTTTATCCATCAACAATTTCTAGATAAGTCATATATCATATTCTTAAATTCAGCTTACTTCTCAGATGATTGTAACCAAATTCATCGACTTGATTGTGTTGGATCACGTGACAACCTTAAATTATTAATTATTATTGAACAGATAAGGAAATGAGAAAAGTTCGCTCAAAATGCTCAATAATATGAATTAAAAAACTCACTGGCCTTTATTAACCCACTCTCCAAGTGGGATAACTTTTAAAATAAGATTGTCAGCGTTAGATATACAGGATTAAAATGAAGTACATATATTTTTTAAATTGTATTACCCATATTTGTCTCTAGTTTTTATGCTTATCAAAACAGTGCATTGAATTGTTTATTTTCATTAAATAAAGACAGTTTGACAGTTAATATTTCAATCTTTGATTTTAATAGCCCCACGTTGGGCGCCATTTGAAATAAATATAATTTTAATAGGGAAAATTAAAGTTGGGAAAGCTATTCGTAATGCTATTTTAATGGGGTGATTTTATAACTGATTGCCCCGAATTTTATTTACAGCCAGACATTGATTAATCTATGCACGGGAGTTTTTTTTTAATGAATACATCTTCGTGTTAAGAATAATTAATTCCAGCATGTAATAACTCTTTACTCTGTTAAAGTAATGTATATTTGCTCAAACTGAGTAAACCATTTTTCTTGCTTTCGCGCGTGGCTTTGATCTGTAGCACTGTTTGATACGTGTTGAAAAAGAAGATTTTCTAAAAACTTTGCCAATGTTGATGGAAGAGAAAAAAATGAATGTGACACGAGGTCAAGCTGATTGTGCATTGTGGTGGTACAATAAAAGACGAGAACGTGTCACTACTTCAAATTTGGAGACATTTGTAAAAAAAAACGAAACATCTCCGTTAAACAATCTCATAAAATCTTCTATTTTTTGCTAAAGCCACTCAATATGGCATGGACAATAAATCCAGAGCAAAATAAGATTTTAAAATTTTTTTGCAAGAAAAAAGTTTTTAAATGTAGACTTTTTATGGATTCCGAATTTGATTATGTTGCTGCCAGTCCGGATGGAGTTTAAAACAAAAAACAAAACTTTATGATATAGTTAAAATATCCATAGGGAGCTAGAGTGCTGACTCAGCTGACTAGAAAAAGAAATGTGCAGTAGAGAAATTACTTTTTGGGAAAAGGACAATACCATTAAGGAGAACCACAACTGGTATTTTCAAATTCAGGGCTAGCAAATGCAGTTTTGCATTTTGTGCGTTTGGACTCATCGAGGAATAAAAGTGGAGAAAATTCCTCATAATGACAGCTTTTGGGAAGAAAAGATGCAAAATAAAATTCAAAATTTTTATATGCAATATGCCTTACCAGAACTAGGTGACAGCAGAGCTATTAGAGATAGAATACCAAATAAATGGGGAGACATTTTGTTAAATTTTTATTAACATAACGCAGGGAATCTTAAATTATTTGGAATATGTTTATTAATTTAAGAGTTACACTTTATTTATTTCTAAAACATGGTAGTAAGCGATCCACTTAAAATATGATTATTGTCTTATTATTATGATACACTTTTTTAAATTTTAGATTTTACCAGTGGCAGTGGCAATTGATGATATATAATTATTATACCAAATATTTTGACTAGTGGATCACGTTTTTAAATTCACAAATAATAATATCAAGATTCTGATTCGGATTAGTAGTTTTACTACAAAGAGTTTTGTGCCAAAGCCAAGCCATGTATTGATATTGTAAAACGCGGATGAGTAACTATATCAATAGAAATTGAAAATTCATATATGAATCTTTGTAACGTAATTATTTATAACTTTAATAACTTTATACGGTCAAATATTTTAGCTAACTTATTTAATTCTAAATATAAATTGAATTTTTTTTTAAAAGTTTAGTTGTTGCAAATTTACTGCGCTTAAGTATTGTTCAGATTAAAATATAAATTGATTTATGGAGCTTAACTGTAAAACATGAACTAATGCTTTCATTCCAAAGAAAAAGTATTATGGTCAATAAAAGGAATTTCGAACTGTGATATCTTCAAGCCCTTATTTAAAACCTTTAAAAATTAATATTATCATTATATAAGAGTTATCTTTACAAATTGTTACATATACAAATAAATATATCTCTGTTAATAAATAGTCATATTTTATTTAATATATTAATTTAAACATGTTTTTTTGTCTAGATAATATGGAATACTAACTTTTTTTCTATATAACTTTTTATACCCGGCATTGTGAAATAAAAAAACTTATTACTTATCACTTTTTTCTTTTAATTCATTTGTAATTGTTGCCCAAATGGATAAATTGTTTTAACTGTACAACTTACAACTCGGCTGCTGATAGCCAGTGTAACAATACGGGTTTTCATGAATTTGTTCCAGAAGCTGTACCTGGGTGGTTCATTATAATAGATTATTCAAACAAAAGTAATTTTTGTTAAAATATAAATAATAATATGCCCAAACATTATAGACCGTCAGATAGTGACCGATTTAGGTGCCTTGAAGAGGGTTGAAAAGTACATCGATGTTGAGTAAAATAAAAGAAAATATACGAGTGGCTCTTGGGGATAACACATGGAAAATTCGATTTTCCTTATCAAAAATATTTTCCGACCCCAAAATGCACTTATACATTCGGGGCATTCAAGAAAATATGTTTTTAGAACTAGTGACGACGTACGTTTTCATACATTCGATGGGCTTGTATAGAAAAATCGGGCAAAATCTCTATTTTTCCTTAGAAGATTACGCCCTTATTTCAACCCTTTAGCCACTTGCAACATTAAAGCCTTTGGTTTTCCGAAGCCTAGTTCAATTAATTAATCATATAGTGAAAACGGCTTGTGTGAAAAAATGGGTAACAAGTAACCTTTCGTTTTTGTTAGGGAAAATCGAATTTTCCATGTGTTATCCCCAGCAGCCACTCGTAAATTTCCTTTCATTCTACTTAAAATCGATGTACTTTTCAACCATCTTCGAGGCTTGTATGTGAAAATGGGGCACCTAAACCTGTCACTATCTGACGGACTATTATATCTGATTGTTACATATTATAAAACCAAAGTACCTTTTCATTTAACTAACTTACTCATGGCTACCCCAAGTTTGAATATTATAAATCCGCTTGAATATAAAAAACAATAGGTAAGTATAGAAAATATTTTTTAAAAACCTAGTTTATTTAAAAATGTAAAATGTCAAGAGACCGTCTACTGTCCGTTTACATTTGCCTCCTGTATTTGATACTTTGGCTTTTCGAATCGAGGACATCGGTGGTACAGGAGCAAATGTATTGCTAAACTGTGGACGCTTTTCTACTCTCAGACAATCAATTATTGTAAAATGCATATTATTTTGAGCTATTGTGGAATATTTTTCGGTTCCTTTGTCTCAACTTCGTGAGTTAGAGTTTAGAATATGTATTCCTCGTATCTACATGCAATTGTTAAAATTATGAATGAATGCTGATTTTGTTGAGTCTCGGCAGTCATTTTGTAGTATTTAGACTCCACCCTTAAGTTGTAATTTTTATTCCTACTAAACTACCGTTGCCCCGCAGGTCTTTCAGTTTGTAATGAGAGCCACACCATTTGTTTGGGTATTTATTTTCGCGGAACTATAGGTTTGTTCGGGTTTCTCTAAAACTTGATGAAAACCGTCCGAGAACCAGTAGAACAGTTGAATTCCAAATTATTCGTCGCGTACAACTATTAATCTGTCCACTGGTCAACTAGTCCTCTGATAGTTCTCAATGTCTTTTTGAAGAATCCGAACAGACTTTATGATGTTAATGCAGGCCTAGGCGTTTTCGAGAATGTGCATATATCATAGATATATTGGTCGGCCGTTGACAATTACTTGTCTCTTTTCAACTTTAAAGCAGCCGCATATGCTGTAATATCTCTGTCTACTTGCAATGCATTTTTACTTGTGAATTTCATTATAGCTTCGTTCGCGGTAACAATCCTGAACTGATTCAGAAATACTAATTCATACTTTGGGCGCATGCCTGATTCATTATCAATTCTGAATTTTTACCGCGCGCGCAATCCCTATTATATCTCGGTGTTCCAGGTACAGTCTGTTCGCTATTCTTACGCGGGTTTCGGATTAACAAAATTATGCAAATTAGTCATTGACAACCAGTTCCATAAACCTCTTCCCAAGAAATTAGGTACAATTGCCCTAATGGTCAGATTTAAATTTAAATAACATTAGGGTAGGTACTAAATTTGTTACAAATATTGCAGTTGAATTGATTCTTTGCCAGTGTTGACATTAGGCCGTATTCATAAAAAAGAGGATTTGCTTTTACTTGCAGAAATCGAAGCATTTCCTTCACATTCTATTCATAAAAATAAGAAGGAAAAGGTTTGGACTTGAAGCAAAAAGGTTTTGTTCCAAAGGAAAAGGTTTTGCTTTTTTGGTATTTAAAAATAGTAGCATTTGCTTTAAAATTAAAGAATTTGCTTTAAAAAATATGCATCTAGTCGAGAGAAGCTTTTGTAATAAATGGTTATTTACTTCAGTCATTTATATATACTTGTAAGTAGGGCGAAGGTGTTTAGTTATGAAGTGAATTATTTATTAAATTCAAATTTTTCATGGCGGATGTGGTGGACGTACGCGCAGAAAAACTTTACAAAGAAAGACGTAATACACGTGAGTGCGATTTTCGAACCCATTTTCGGTTGACGGAAATAATGTGCAATGGTTAGCAGAGTACTTTATCGGAGAGAATCTGGAAACCAGAGAATGTGCGCTTTCGGTCTTATTGTGGACAAAGCGAATGAATGGATCAAGTTTCCATCGACCGAAAACGAAATTATGGAAGCCAAAGTGAAATGGACAGAGAACAAAAATTTCCCACCTTTTTCATTATTGTTTTCAAGGTCATGTCTTTGTGACAACTTTCTCCATAGCCGTTTACTTCTTCGCTTTTTTCGCGGGGAGCTGAGAGTTTTCCAATATTTCTGGGTATTTTTTTATCATTTCGGCAATAAACTAACATTCAGATTGCTCATCGCGGATGTCTTGTAACTCTAATTGGTCGTCTGAAACTTCCTCGTCACTTGCCATCTTCAGTTACAAATATCGAACAAAGCTCAATCAAATGTAAAATAAAAACTTCGAATAAAAGTTTCTATATTTACATTTACCAGCACACACTCTCACATATCCCGGTATACTACTATAATAACATACTATGACCCTTCCCCTGCAACTGCAAGTTTTAAGTTGTTCGGCAGCAGCTTACTTATCTTTTTCTTTTTTGCGAGGATTTGCTTGCAAAGAAAAGGAAAAGCTTATAAATACGAAGTAAAGCAAAACCTTTTCCTTTTACCTTTTCCTTGTGAGCTCTACCTTTACCTTTGAAGGAAACACTTCATTTTTATAAATACGGCATATTGTATGTATATTGTAAATTTAGTGGACATTTTAAAAATGCCTAGACGTGTGTTAGATGTAGATAGTCTAATTTGTAGTGTACATAAGTATTTTACAGATGAAAATGGCGGTCCTTTAAAATCGGTAATGTCTGTACAACAACGCGTATGCGATGCTCTAGGAATTAGTGAAACCAAATTAAGAGGATTATTACAAAATCACAATAGTGAACTGCCGAAAGAAGATCACCGCAAAACTCGCCCATCATTGAAAACGAAAGATATTCCAGATGGAAAGAAATTTGAAATTCGTGATACAATTTATCGAATGAGGGCCAACAAGGAACATGTGACCTTAAATACAATTCTCTCGGAATTAATAGATAGAAAATTTGACGACATTGGCAAAACAAGTCTATGGCAAGTGATACATAACTTGGGTTTCAAATTTCAAAAGGAGGATAACAGAAAGGCCCTTTGTGAAAGAAGTTCTGTCGTGCACAAGAGAATTAACTTTCTAAGAAAATATTCTAAATTTAAAGAAGAAGGGACGAATTTTATATATTTAGATGAAACATGGATATTTTCTAGTGGTGGAACCAAGAGAATATGGCAAGATGATAACGTAAAGTCCATCAAACATACCGATGGAGAAGGGAAGCGACACATAATTTTACATGCAGGAGGGAAATCGGGTTTTATAGAAGGAGCTGATTTAATATTTTCATCTAAATCAAAATTTAGTGACTATCACGATAATATGAACACAGAAATGTTTGTAAAATGGTTGCATGAAAAACTTCTCCCAGGTTTAAGTGAGCCCAGCGTAATTATTTTAGACAATGCACCTTACCATTCTGAAGTATTAAACAAAAGTCCAACGAATTTTTGGAATGTTGATAAAATTAATTAATCAATATACATTAAAATCAGAATTATTACGCTTGGCAAATATACACGCAAAACGAAAAACTTTTGTTGTTTGTGGATCAGATTATTGAAAGTTACGGTCATCAAGTTTTACGTCTGCCACCGTATTACTGCCAGTTTAATCCCATGGAATATATATGGGGAATTAAACAATATTATGACAACCACATTGGGCCTAATGGTTATAGGGGTTATAGTGACGACGCAGTTCGGGAAACTTGGCGAAAAGCACTTTCAATTGCAACTCCAGAAGTGTGGCGGAACTGTATATCCAAGTGCGAGAAACTAATAGAAGATTGGTGGACTCGTGAAAATAAAATAAAACGAAATAAGTCCAATCATAATAACAATTAATGGTGATGACAGTGATGATGATGACGATTATGATATTTTGGATGATAATGACCGATTTTCATTTTTGTTGGCAAGTTCAATTTTTTTATTTTTCATTTGAAATTCTATACATGGAACAAATTTTTATGTTAGAAAATATTTTATTTGAGCTAAATAATCCTCTTATTATACATAGACCATATTTTCTGTGTGAAGTGTAATATAAAAATATTATTAGGTTTATAATAGCCACATTAGACTCCATTAATGAAGAAGTTTAATTTTGCTCTCAATTATACAAAAGATTTTTCATTATTATTTAATTAAAAAGTTGTACATTATTTTTCATTTCATTTAACCAGTTGATATTTCCCCAAAGAACAGGTCAAACTTTCGGGTACTTACCTGGAAATACTCATAAAATTTTTAATCCGAAACCCGCGTAAGTATAGCGAACAGACTGTATAACACAAGAGGTTTAAAACCAATAATTTTTCCGCGAACGCAGGATAGAACCAATAGTTCAGTTATTTTTGTTCCGCGAACGCTTTTTAACTACTGCGCCTGCGAAATCGTTACTATTAGTAATAATTCGGTTCAGGATTCTTACCGCGAACATAGCTATAAATCATGAGGTCAATTTAAAATACGGCCAGGCTGGGCTAAGGGCGCAGCGGATAAGAATGAATTGTTTTTAGACATTAGTAATCTTAGCTCCATTGATAATAATTGGGGAATTTTAGCATGAAAATGTAATTGTGCTTTTTAAAGATAGTTTATTATTAAATATTTAATATTGCTTGAAATAAATTAGATGGGTCATTGACCAAATGACCTTATGGAGCATCTGGTGTACACCTACAACTAAATTTTTTAAAGTCATGAATTTTTCTGTTTATTAAATATTTATACCCACTTGTTGAGTTTTTTGTTTGGTTTTAAAAATAAGTTCAAATTTGTTTTATTTATGTAGAAAGCTTGGGCCTGGAATATACATACCGTCATTTAGAAAAAAATATTCTTTAACTAGTATTGAACGATGAGTAGATTGCATTGATTTTAGATTTATTTAAAAAAGAAAATAATTCCAACCTCAAATGTGAGAAAGACGTAAAAATAGATGAAAACAAGAAATTCTAAAAGCCATGTGTTACACAATAATACAATCTACCATTTCCCTTTGGGAAACAACTACTTCTTTGGCTAATACCGCAACAGGAATTTAATTATATCCAATGAAAAACACCAGAAATAGAATTGTTTTTGCTTACTACGGAGAACATCATTATTGGACCGGTTTCGTCCTTATTAGGACTCATTAGCAAAAATTAGTTTTAAAGCTCCCACTATATCAATTTCTTCAACCATACCATGTCTTATTTAATATAAACTTACTTGAAGCTCCTTTTTATCGGGATTAAAATTCTCCGTATACTCAGCATGAATATACCGTTCCTCCCAATCCTGTGGGTTGTCGAAAATTTGGTACATTTCTGGTTCCGTTCGAGTAATATCCAAATTATCGGGATTGATGAGATGACCGAAATCAACTCTGTTGGACACGTACATAAAAACGTCCAGATTTCTTAAGTTCGAGCAGAACGCCATATCGGCGTCAAGCCTGGGCCTGGTGAAATTTATGAGCGTGCGGTCACGTGATTTCAATAGCGTTGAATTTATGATGTACGCGCTGGCAATGAAGGGGACGTTCCACAATCCTCTGGAAAATAAAATTATAATATATTAAAATTCAAGTCGAATCTAAAATGTAATTCAATCTTTGAAGAGAACCTATTTAATCTGTTTTTAGCCATGACAATATTACCATAAATAAATCGTTTTTTGTTTTTACAACTCTTAATACGTGACGTCAAAAGGAAGTTGGTTACACTTATTTGTTTCAACACAAAAGAATTTAAATGATAAGGGTAACAGTGCTACTTTATAAATAAGTTTGGTACAGCATTATATTCTTATTATTGTACATTCTACGTGAAATTTGGATTTGGTAATTGTCCTAGTACAAAAAAATTTTCTAATTATCTTACAATTTTACCCTTTATTAAAAGAAACAAAACTACTGACAGAAAGTTAAACTGCTAAAGAAATATTACAGTAAATTTTACCGTTACAACAACTTCAAAACTTTTGTTATTTTATAACCTAATTCGTATTAGTTTTTCCCACCTTCTAATCGGCAAAATCAAATACATACTATAATATTTATTCCAGGAGTACTGGAATTTCGCTGTCGTCGGATTTTTAGTCCTTGAAGAAGCGGAAAGACTTTTTTTTAGGTAGCAAAATTTGTGTATGTAATCATACTCCATATTTATTTAAGGATTTTTATAAAACCAATTTATTTTTTAATTTCAGTTCTTTTATCTGTTCATCATTTGGCAACATTGGCGTTTGTGTTCGCTGTTTTATTTTAATTTGTATGAATTATAGTTCGATTTTTTTTTACGTGTGAACATTAAATGTTTTATTTCTTATAGTGTGTAATAGTGTTTATATTAAAACTTAAATTTGCAAAAAAGCCACCAGCAATTTGCAATCAGTATCACAATTAAAACTGAATTTTTTATTACTTTCCAAGTGTAAGTCGTAAAACGTTGTTTCTTACGATAAATTAATGTCTACAAATTCACATTGTGACGAGGTCACTAAATTTTATTTTTAGTTAATTGTAAAAATGTATATTTTAATTAATTTTCGCCTGGGAACGTTTCGAAGATTTTTGTTTCCCAGGAAATCCCGTTTTTAAACAATTGCGAGAGCCCTCATAGTTTAAAATATTTCCGTATTTGCCGAAATCCAAATTCGGATTTGAAGGTTCAATTTCATGTAAATTATCTAGGTTTATTCGTCAAAGTATCAGAAGGACGTTTTTCATTTCGACACTTGTAAACAGTCGAAACTGGAGGTGGTTTCTCCCACTACAAAATTGCTCGGCATCCGAGTTTGTCTGCTTAGGGACATAAATATGCAGGTGCAAGGAAATTATCTCTCTTGACTTCTGACCACCGTATGCTCGCTCTTCTCCTGCTGTTACCGTCGCACACAGTTAACGTCTAAAATAAAGAATTTTGTTAGTGCCACGCCATCCTTGCTGACTACATGACCTAGGTAATTAACTTTAGTTTGAAATAGTTGGCACTTCTTGGGGTTTAGCATCAGTTGGGCAGCAGCTTGAAGTCTTTTAAAAACATCTTTAAGTTTTTTAGATGTTCATCAAATGTCTTCCCCAAGACTATGATGTCGTCTAAATAAACCAGACATGTTTTCCAGGATAACCCTCTCAATACATTTTCCATAAGTCTTTCAAATGTAGCGGGGGCATTACACAGTCCAAATGGCATAACACTGAATTGCCACAATTCAGATCCGGTAGTAAAAGCTGTATTTTCTTTATCTATTGAGTCCATCTCCACCTGCCAGTATCCAGACTTCAAGTCTAAGGTAGAGAATAGTTTACTTCCAGCCAATGTGTCCAAAGTATCGTCGATTCGAGGCACAGGGTAACTGTCTTTCTTGGTAACATTGTTCAACTGACGGTAATTCACACAGAATTTCGTAGTTCCATCCTTTTTCTGGACCAGGACTACCGGAGAGATCCATGGACTGGTAGAAGGTTCTATCACCCTGTCGTCCTCCATTTCCTGAACAATCCTTTCAGCTTCTTTTCTATTGGCTTTTCGTAATCTTTGAGCTGATTGGCGAATTGACCTGGCGTCACCAATGTCAATTTTGTGTCTTACAACAGAAGTTCTTCCTGTTTTCCTTCTTTTGGTACAAAAATGTCACGATATCGCCGAAGAAATTCCTTTATTATCTTTTTTTCTAATTTATTCAGAGATTGACCAGCAACTGCAATCATTTGCTCGAATTTGTCGTTGGAATTATCAGAAGTTGTTGTCTGACGAATTATGGAAGTTTCTGGTACACAAATTCCGATTCTGGTCTCTTTCCTGATGGTAATTTGATGATCATTAACGTTTATATGACGAACTGAAATGTCTTAAGTAGTCGTGACCAACCCCTTTTCGATCAGGATTCCTCGTCCAACCTCTTCATCGTAGTTCCAAGGTTCCATCATTACAGGTGTTTCTTCTTCCATAGTTTCTTGAAGCCGTGCTATTATAATGGTTTCACTTTTGCCAGGTACCACCGTATATTCCTGTACAGCAACTGGCACGGTATTGTCCCCATATGGATGTAGGAATACCTCTTCGACACCAAGTTTGATCACTCTGTTCTTAAAGTCTAACTGGAAAACAGGTAAGTTCACTACATCCATTCCAAGAATAACATCTTCTTCGATATCAGCCACAATAACAGTATGAGTGAACTTTCACCTGTGGCAGTCCGCAGTCGCAATCTTGTTGGTAGAAGGTTATTTATAGTTGTTGGTCGTATAATGGTCCTAGTTGCTACAGTATTCTTTAATAATGTATACTTTTTACCATTTACTTCGCCGTCTACGTCTACACTATCATTGCGACATTTCAAAGAGGCTATCAGTCTGAGAGGGTCTTCGGAACGGTTTCGGGTCGAAGCTGTCCCCTCTAGGCCGACCCGTTCTAGTTTTCCTGAAGCGTGTTGCCTTGAGTTGTTGGGACCCTAGGGCGTTTGCACGAACTGCATACATGTCCCAGTTCACCTCAATTCTAACACCTGATAGTCTTTGTCTTTTTGTCAGCAAAGGTCTTCATTATGTTAACTAGTTGGTCGAGTTTATCTTCCACGTTTTCTACTTTTATAGTCCTCACTTTACTGTACCCTCCAGAAGCCTGCGTAGCTACCTCATACTCCAGAGCAGCGGATAAGACATCGACCAATGTTTTGTGGCGGGTAAAGCGGAGTGTTTTCTGCATCTCATGGTCACGGAGTTCATCAACAAATGTTTGTACTGCCAAACATTCCATCATGTTTTCCGGAGCTGAAGGGTAAGCAAATCGCACCAACCTGGCAATACCTAGTTCATATTCTTGAAGAGTCTCGTCTCGTTTCTGTTTGTGATTCTTTAACTGTGACTGGTATAAATGTTCCAAGTGTTCGTGGCCATTTTCTAGTGTTTTAAGTCGTTCTGCCAGCTCTGATTTCTTCCCTGTAGTCTGTAGTTCACGTTCTTCTAATTATCGACGCAATTCAGCCACGTTTAAATCACACAGTTTTTTAGCCATTTTTTCCACTATTTATTAACAGTTCCACTTCTAACACCAATGTAACGTTTGTTTAATTTATTTATAGTTTATTTATTTTAAAACGCTTTATAACGTACTAGTTAATTAATATAATACTTAGGCACTATTACAACTCACAATTCTAATTTATTTATTACACTTTATCTTTTCTATACAGCACTTGAATTTAAACTCGCGCTATTTATACAAAGCCAGCTCTGAACTAGAATTCTCTCGGCTTTCCAGAACGTATCGAAAACTGTCTTTCTATGACTCATACGACGCAAAGGGATCAATCCGGTAGTTTCTCGAAGCGGTGCGTTTGTCTCTATATGGCCAGCGCTAGACTTTATACTGCGGGAAAGGAGTAAACAAGGAACAGAGACGGCTTTCGCATCACATCATTAATAATAATAATTCTATATTAGGGATATTGATGCCAATAATAGAAACATAAAAATGTATAATATCTCTTTGATCGCATCTGTATAGAGACTAATTCCGAAAATCATACATGGAATCAGCATCATTTAATGTTAACTATGTTTCTATGCGGGTTCATATATACATATAAACTTTTTGTCCATTTCCTTTAAAAAAGGATGATGAAATCTGAGATACAAACACGCGGCGAGTCCAGCCAGACATCCCGTACACTACAATACAACCCAATTTATTTAAAGAACCTTGCAAATTTAATCCGTCAATGTTTTTCTTATTAAATTGCAAGTTAATCAAATGATAAATCGTGAAAATATTACCAACAATATCGTCTAACTAAAAAACAAATAAATTTAAACAGCCACATACGCACTTATATCCCTGTCCCCTATTTATCCGACCACCTAATTAGGTAATGGACGAAATAAACCTTCGCAATTGTCGATGTTGACCCCTTTCGGCAAACGGACTCCTCGAAAATCGGTTTATAGATGTTCAGACGCGCGATTTTGGAACACCTCGAACGTACAACCGTTATACTTTTTTTTCGCATAGTCTTTATCGTTGGTCCGATTCCGTTCTCTGCAGTTTTGATTGCGTCTAATTGAAACAAATGGTAGACAGGAAATTAATGGTTCTTGCATGCATCTGCATTTGCATACAGATATGTGAAAGTGCCAGAGGAGGAGGAAGAGGTAAGGTTGTTAGATCTATTTGAATTATTTAATTAGAGAGTAATGAAATATACAATTTTTGCGTTTCTAAATTAGGAGGAACATGTGTGTATAGTGTTTCTAGATTCAATCCAATACAGGCGTTTGTACCGGGGGTGCGTAATAATTTGCGTTATAAGCGCTGAGATCGCTACGAATTCTATACCCTCACATTGCAAATAAGCGCGAATTGTCTTGGTATATGCTTGGTATAGTACTGATGTGGCCAACTTAAGTTTTAAACATCAAAGCAGCTATAGTTGATGTAAAGTCCACAAGTGAGTGTTCAGAATAGCTGGCGCGGCTGGCTGCTTCAGTTGTTCTAACTTTGTTCAGTAGCGTGTACGGTCTGAAAAATTTTCTCAAAGCGTTTGTTAAACTTGTTTTTATTTTTCTGTGTTTCTGTTGTATTTTGATTTGTATTGTAAGAGATGGTTTTCTAGATACCTTTCAAGGTAAATGTAGATGCTAATGAATTGCAGGTTAATGATGATATTCACATTAATAATGAAATTCCAATAAATAATAAAATTCAAAATAATGATGTAGTACAATTAAATGCAGTACAAATTAATGATGAAATACGTATTAATAATGCAATTCGTACTAATGACAATCATTGGTGAAACACAATAGGAACAATTGAACGTTTTAATTTACAGTGATTGAGGGTATACATTTAGTCAAAAAGAGTCTCACCAAATTTCAACATTGGCCGACAATATATGAAGACATATTGAGGGCGTAAAATTAAATTGTATTTAAAAACATCCTACAACTAGACGAATTTCAGCTCTTAATTTCTATTTGACTAGTTGTAGGATTTTTTTTAAATAATATTTAATTTTACGTCTGCAATGTTGGCCAATATTGAAATTTGGTGAAAGTCTTTTTGACCTAATGTATACAGAGTGACCCATTGGAAAGCGGGACACCTTCATAAATTTTTTATTTGAAAGCGGGACACCTTCATAAATTTTTTATTTGAAAGAGCGATTTTGACGAATTTTTTTTTTTTTGGCCAAGCGACGTCCAGTCTTTCTGAAAACCAAGGCCTACTAGATAACATTCAAAGGCTGACAAATCCAAAATCCATTTTTTAGATCTGTTTCAAGTTTCATGAAAAAATATTTAACATTAACTATTCTATGACTAAATTACTGACAAGTTGTTTATTATGCATTAAGAAGTTTTTTTTATCTAGTAACCCATGCGATAACAAAAATTAATAAATAGGGCTTGGGTTTTAGAAAATCTGGACGCCGTTTGGCTCCAAAATTCACCTCTCCCCCGTCATACTTAAAAAAATAAAAACAATATGATGGTGACCCACTCTCAAATAGGTCACACTGTATGTCCAATCACTGTAAATTAAAACGTTAAAATGTATACTATTTTAAGCTTTTATAGGTTTACTTTCGAGAAATCAAAATTTTTAATATTGATCCAAATTTAAAAATTTTTGTATCACAATCTTTCTCATCAAATTTTAAACAACTTTTAAAAAATATTCGTCTGTCCGTCTGTCTATCTATCCGACAGATGTCACGTTTTTGTCCGCACGATAAGTCAAAAACGATAAATGATATCGACCTAAAATTTTCAGGAAAAATCAAGCTTTATAAGGGAATGAAACCTATTAATTTAAAAAATATTTGATTAAAATGGGAGGGGGGGTTGAGGGAATTGAAATTAAAAAAAATCATATATCAAAAACGATATCAACTTGAAATTTTCAGAAAAACAAGCTCTATAAGGGGACGAAACCTATGAATAAAAATGGGGGTTGTAATTTAAAAAAATCTGAAATCAAAAACGAAAAGCGATATCAACATGAAATTATTAATAAAAATCAAGCTCTATAAAGGAATGAAGCCAATTGATTCCGAAAAAAATCTGAATAAACATGAGGGGTCAAGGAGTGTTAAAATATGAGAAAAAATCTTAACTCAAAAACAAAAAATGAAACTTGAAATTTACAGCAAAAATCAAGCTCTGTAAGGGGGCGAAACCTACTAATTCTGAAAAAAAAAAAACCTGAATAAAAGTGGGGGTTTAAGGGGGTTTCAAATATTAAAAAATTCTTACTCAGAAATAGAAAACAATACATCTTGAATTCAAGATCTATAAAAGGCCGAAATTAGTGTCGCAACCTTTTTTCAATTTGTTTCAATAAGACTTTGTGGTATTGATAAATTTTCTTACCCCCACTTATTAACAAAAATAAAAAAACAAAATTGTCCGGTCGTCACGATAACTATAAAATAAGCTTCGATCGACACGAGCTTTAACGAATTCCAGAATGGACTTGGTATCTGAATTTGATAGTAAAATCAAAAAGGTAAAGAACCCTAATATTATTTTACACGAGCAAGCTTAAGAGATTATTTTTACTTGAACAAACTCAAGGAGGTCCAAACTTTTTTAGATTTGCAGGTTTAAGAGGTAAAGGGTTTACATATTTTTACCTGGACAGTCTTAAGGTATAAATATTATTATAATAGCAGACGTAAGGAATAAAAGGACCAAATATTTTTACATGGGCAGGCTTAAAAGGTAAAGCGCCCAAATATTTTTACATGTGCAGGATTAAGGGGAAAACTGAAAATAATTTTATATGGACAGGCTTAAGGGGTAAAGAGACTAGATATGGTTAAATTAGTAGGTGTAAAGAGTAAAGGGACCAAATATTTTTAATGGGCAGACTAAGGGGTAAAGGGCCTAAATAGTTTTACAGAGCTAGCAATGTGAAGATCCTCTACGTGGTTTAGCTTAAGTATTACCAATTCTTGACCAATCTGAAATTCAACATCTCAATATTTTCGAATCGGTTTTAGGTCTTTCATTCAAAATCAAATCGTGGAACCTAAGAGTATAGGCTTCGGAGCCTCTACCGAAGCAGCTATGACAGTCGGGGGGTGGGGTGGTTAAATTTTTCATTATATATAATATGTTGAACCGCCTATGATAATATATAATCAAATATCCAAATTCGTATACCCCACGTAAACACATGGGAAAGTCTGCAGGAAATGTTTATGAAGATGCAAGATTTCCGAAAATCATAAAACCGATACTCTAAAGTTGATCCCATTCTGTGAAGAGACTTATCTATTTTTTCTTTCTTATTAATTGAAAAGATTGTATAAATTATTCAAGTATTTGTATTTTTTTTAATTTGAATTTTGTTAATTTTCAATTCTTGAACAGGAATTTAGAAATATATTAGTATTGTTTAAATTATCATTGGGCTGAAGGACATCGGTCGATGGCTGTTCAGTATAGTAGTACTTTTATTATTATTACTATTAAGGAATGAACAACAAAACCGTCAAAGACAGATACCAATTATGCCCGTAAAAAATAATTACGCGCGGCTCTTAATTAAAAAAGAAGCGTATGCTCAACACACGTACATTTTTCCAAAGCCTACTTTAGAAACATTTTTTGTGAATCACACATTATTATAAGTATAATTTGTGGGTTAAAATACCTACCTATATAATAATGATATATTTTTATTAAGACACTATCACATATTATTATTTTTAGGAAAGTTGAGCAGAGGAAGAGGTAGAATTTTTAGTTCCAGTGTACCAGTAATGATTCAGCACAGAAATCCAGCAGCCAAAAATTATTATGAAAATAAAGACGTAAGTAATGCGCTAGTTCAGTGATGATGTAATTATGGCACATACTTTGATTACTATACGAGGGAAGAGAGAGGTCCGACACGCCCAACATAGGGCGCGGCCATTTTGAACCCTGTGACCCTGTAATACAATATATGACAACCGCCTATAATAAAACAGCAGTTTTCTGCGTATCCGAATTTGTATCCCTGGAGTGGATGTTATTTTGGAACTTTCAACTGGTCCGAGTGAGCTAACTGATTCTTTAGCAATAAACTGTGACTTCAAAAATAATATTCACTGACACTGACAGCAGCAAGCAAAATATCAGGTGCGTTTTAATCATCCGCTTCTGCTTCCGGAATTGTCGGTTTAGTCGTTTTAACCTGTCAGATTAAAACAAGAAAACCGACAATTCCGAAGCAGAAGCGGATGATTAAAACGCACCTATTAAAAATATTGCGCCAAGATGTAGGCAACACGTAATAAGGGTTCAAAATGGCGGAGTTTTCTATCTCCTTTTAAAAGGCACTCAGAAAGCTGCGCAGTTTGACCATTCTCCGTATAGTAAAAGAAAATCAAAGTATGTGAATTATGGTTCCACTGACAATTAAAGTGACAGTAGATTTTTTGAGTGCGTTTTGTTCGTTTTGTTTACCTAAATTATATCGTTTTTTTAACTTTTATAAATATATTCCTAAAGTAAGTAGATAGCATGTATCAAATATACAATCGTTTAGTTACCAATTACATACCTTTAAACTATTTTTTATGACCTGTAAACAATATTTTGAAATAAAATAAAAACAGTAAAAACGTATATGTCAAATTTATTGATGTTTTTGTTAAAAGTTTGGTTAGAATTAAATGTCAGTGGAACCAAAATGACATCACACTGAACTAGCGCATTAGGCATTCCAAATAAAATGGCTACCAGTGGGTTTTGACAGGTTATTATATGGCAAAATTATGACAACCCTGTGGGCCTGGTGATTTTACAAGGTCAATGACATATATATACATAGATTGATGATCCATGTTTTTCAAAATAAACATTGAAATAAAAATGTAGGTAATTATTTTTTTACTATATTCAAAGGCTGAAAATTGGTTTGTAAACACATTTTTACTAAACCAATTCTGATTAATGAGCACTTGCGAGGCAATATGGCCACCCGCTTTAAACAATCTACGTAACTATATATGTATCATTGACTCTGTCAATGACAAGCCCACAGGGTTGCCATATCTAAACTGTCAGTTCCCACTTGTAAGCATTTTGACAGGTCGTTGGAATGCCTAATAAATATTAACAGCTAGGTTGAACCTTAGGTGTACAATTCAACGTACTTTATCAAATTTTTATTCGAAAAGTTGTAGAAGGAAATGTAGTTAACTCGTTTTGACCAAAAAAATTATTTATCCCCTTATTTCCCGAAACCACGGAATTATGGATAAGCAAGAAAAATGTATAATTGGGTAATCACCCAGGTCTCTTTCACGAATTTTATCCATGCTTTCTCATCTTTTACTAAGTTTCCAGTTTCTTCTGCATTATTTATAAAACCAATTTTTATTTGAATAGTTTTCAAGTCGTCTACCTCTTATATTTCTCACTAATGATTTTGACTTCTAAGTTTTTATCTCTTTTCACCGCTTCAATTTTTCATGAGTTATCTCCTTAAGCTCCAATTTCATAATATTTCTGCCCCAGGATCCATCTGTGATCTCAGAGTTGCTACAAGTAGGTCAGTAATATAAATAGGAATAGAGTTGGAGCCAAAGTTATCTTGTATTGATTTTATAGATTACAGAAGACTTCTATGGACCTATTAACAACCTTATACACATTTACAGTGTTTTTGTAACAAAACATAATTTTTATTACAAACACTGTATTATTTTTTGTTTAGGGTGCCAAGATTGTCAAGTCCAGCCATTTTGAATTGGAATATATGTTGGGAAGAAAAATAACGTTCTTTTGCATGGCTACCGGTAATGTTAACTTGAAATTTATTTCAAACAGTTTATATAGAGATTTTAACAATACCCGTATCCCACGTGGTCTGATAGAACAAGAAATTGAATAGAAATGGTCTATTTCAGTGACTTTTCATAATTAAGGTGTCAGTTCTGTTAAATATGTTATGTTAAGTATGTTAGGTATTAGAAAGGAAAAGATCTAATTATTGCAAGTTCAATTAAGGTCAGTCAGTATTAGTGGCTGTCGTTATAGAAATTTGGAATATTTCTCTATTGTTTTGGGGTTAATGCTGAAGTTATTTATTCGGCATTCCAATAACCTTTCAAACAATAGCTGCCGGTGGGAAGGGTTCGTATATCTAAAGGGGTCGCGAGTTGCGACATAGTCAGTCATCCTTCTTGGATGCTATTTTTATTCGAAATGGTAGTCGCCAATTTATGAAAAATGTATAAGCAGTTTTTTTAAATAATATTTTCAATAGAGAGTTACTGCAAATTTCTATAACGTCAGCCACTAATAGTGGCAACGTAATTAGAGGCAAATAAATTCCATGCTAAAATAAGACTCATAAATAAGACTTATTGCAAACCTGAAATTTTGACATTAATGTCTTCTTCTTCTTTCTTTATTGGGCTATATCCCACAGGATAATTTACCCAGCCAACAACGGGGTGAGTATCCTTGTCTTGCTCTTAGCAATTGGCCTTCTATTAAATTGATATATTTCAAAGTAAAAAGCTTATTAATGTTACTACTTGAGTTATATACGTAGGATAAAAACTTTTCTCGCTTGGGGGCAGTCGCCAAGCTGAACACAACCAGAAAACTGCCAACGGTAAATAGAAGGAGCACCTAGGACTGAAAGAGAGGATAAAGTATTAGGGTTATAATTGAATTTTAAATATATTTAAGAATTTGATTAGAATGTTTAATCTGCTATTATTGAGGTTAGCCAACATAAAACAAATGTCAAAGGGAGTAGAAAACTTGGTTTTTCCCAGTTCAGAGTATAAATCAAAGTTTGCCATCATATTTATGGGACATTCAAAGATAATGTGGTTTAATAAGCCAATTTGACCACACTCACAAAATGGATCATCTTTTACTCCTATACGAAATAAGTGATATGGGGATAGGTGTCCTGTCCTCATCCTAATTATTGTAGTTAAATGTTTTTTGTCCTTGTAGGGAAAATTTAAAAACCAAGGGATTTTATCAAATCGTGGAACGACTTTAAAATAAAAGGAATTCTACTCTTGAGGCTATTCCATTCTTCAAGCCATCTTGAATTCACAATGTTTCTGATGAATGAAAAGAAATTATGATAGTTTAATTTGATATTCACTGGAATATTCAGAGATCTTCCTATATTTGCCAATTGATCTGCCTTGAAGTTACCCAGAATCCGAGAGTGGCCTGGAATCCATGCCAGAATTATTTTGATATGTTCATCTTTTGCGAGTAAGATACCTTCCTTAGTCAAGAAGGAACAATGTTCAGTTTCCCTGGAAAAGCATGATCTTGCTATTTTTTGAAGTGCAGCTTTGGAGTCTGAGAGGATAATGGATTGAACGATGTTTTTGTCTAATATTACTTGCAAGGCCTTGTTGATAGCTGTACAAATTTGAGTATGGAGAGGAAGCTCACTTGAGAATGAATAATCTATATCTGGACTATACACTCCAAACCCTGAGTGACCGGAAGAGTCTATTGAGCCATCGGTGAAGAACTTGGTGTAAGATGGGTATTTCCTGATAATATTCTGATGTTGTACAATTCCTATACTTTCAGATTTAGTAGCGGCAATGTTTACGATAGGAATAGATGCCAATTGGGGTTGGAAATCAAATTTATAACATGGTAAAAGTTCTGAAGTATATAGGTGAGGATTCACGACATCGAATTGACTGATGAGCTGCATTAGTAGAGGATTACTTTTGTTGTTCCAGTAGGTAGAGACCCCACATAATCTTTCTAGTTTTCTTAAAGCAGTCATAATGGGATTGTTTACCAAAGACATGTTTTTAATTAGGTAGTTAAGGGATAGCCATTCTCTTCTAAATCTAAGGGGTATTTCACCTGTCTCTGTCAATAAGGCTAAAATTGGGGTAGATTTCATACACCCTGTGATGATACGAAGGTTTTGGTTCTGAAGTGTACCTAACTTCTTTTTTATATCCTGGGAACACGGTATTATAATTTGATATCCATAATCCAAGTGGGACAAAATGATTGATTTATGTAAAATTCTTAATATTTGTGGGTCACATCCCCACCAAGTCCCACAGAGAGCACGCATAAAATTATTAGGCAGGATATCAAATAGAGTCAAGGTATAAAGGTTAAACAAAATGGGACTCAGCGGAGAAACTTGAGGAAGGCCTTGATTAGTAGTTTGAGGACCATGGATGTGGCCCAAATTGTCTCGACTAAATAGTTCTCTTTGGACTAAAAAGGAATGTATTAAATTGGCCAAATCCACTGAGACATTCACATCTAGTAAAATAGAATATAACCGAGGAATATTAACTGAATCATATGCAGCAGAAATATCAATGAATAGAACAATAATAGTAAATTCATTAAGGAGAAGCCTATTTGCACTTGTAAGGTAAGATAGACAAGCCAATCCGTATAACCCCTGCCTCTTCTGAAGTCCAATTGTAAGGGATTAAGAATTTGGTTATTTTCCAAATGCCATTCAAGTCGATTTTTGATTAAGGATTCTAATACTTTGCTTACGCAAGAGGAAAGGGAAATAGGCCTATAATTTAAAGTTACCATTTTATCCTTATTTGGCTCAATTATAGGTAGAATTAAGGATTGATTCCATTGTTGAGGAACTGAGCCTGTTAAAAGACATTTATTAAAGATACTCAGAAGAAACAAGGAGCCTGAACGAGGTAAATTTTTTAGCATAGAGTATGAAACAAGATCTAAGCCTGGAGAAGAGTCTCGTTTCAAATTTAACACACTTGAGTATTCATTAAGAGTAAAGGGGGATTCTGAGTGAGTTAAGCTATTAATTTGGCACACATTTTCCGGGGAAGAAGGGGAAAGAATGATTAAGATTTCTTGCGCAATTGATTGAGTAGGCATTAGATTCGAGAGATTTTGTTTTAAACTAGAAATGTTATTAATTTTATTCCAAATGGACTTCAGGGAAGAATGACGATTGAGGGAGCTACAATACATCCCAAAGTTATTTTTTCATTTGGATTTGAGAACTTTTTTAGTTGTAGCTATATATTTTTTAACTTGGATGTAATTATTTAAATTTGGACTTTCCATGAAATTTCTAATAAAGGTTTCCATGTTTGATACAAGTTCATTACGTGAATCATCCCCCCAAGGGATATAATATTTAACATTCCTGTTAGGCTTGAAGAAGGGAATAGTAGTATCAGCAACTTGATTTATTATAGATATGAACTCATAATAATTATCTTTGGGTAAGGAAGGAATAAGAGTAATCAATTTATTAAAGTAAGAATTCCAATCTGCCTTGTTGAAGTTTCTTCTATTGTTAGGGGTGGGACGGCCATTATTAGGGATTCCTATCTTACATTTGGTAGGGAAATGGTCACTAAAGCCCAAATCCGGAATCACTTCCCAAGTTGATTTATGAGCCAAATCTATTGAACAAAAGGTTAAATTAACGACAAATTTACCACCATTTGGTGGAGAAATGCGTGTAGGAGAGCCATCATTTAAAAACACTAATTGTAAAGAATCTAAAGAATTTATTATATTTTTACCGTTTGAGCTATTTGAGGAGTTTCCCCAACACACATGATTACAATAATTTAAGTCCCCCATAATCAAAAGAGGTTTGTTAAATGACTGAATAAAGTTAGACCAATTATTTTTGGAAATAAGGTTATCTCCTGGACAATAAATATTCACTAAATTTAATTGACACTGGGGGAGATAGATGGCTTGAACTTAAGTTGGAAAATCTAGAGAGTAATCTATTAGAAGAGGCTGAAAATCTAAATTGTTTTTAATTAAACAGGCTATACCCCCATAGCCATCCAATCTATCATTTCTCAATGTTTGGTAACCTCTACACCTTTACCTATAATCTTCCTTCATCCAAGTTTCATTAAGTAGGATTATGTCTGGATTGTGGTCCTTAATTAGGATCTTTAGATTATCTATGTTTGAGTTAAAAGAGCGAATGTTCCATTGAATAATGGTTAATGGACCGAAGAGCATAATAATAGCTAATTAGTACTCTGAATCTCCAGAGTACTCCATTAGACCTGACTGAGAGAAAGAATTTGAAGGTCCTGCTAGACCTGTAGGAGAAGCATTGGGTTGTGATATAGAATAAAAAGAGTTGATAATATTACCTATGAAAGTCATGACTAACTCCTTGTGTTGGTCCGATAAGCTATCTAAGGCTTGATCTATTTTAATATTATTTACTTCCTCAGGCCGAGAGGGAGACGATAGGGGTCGAGTTGGAAGACTAGATGATCTTCCCGATGGACTAATTAATCATTCTTGATGCCTTTTCTTATCATATTCATCATCATGTGATCTCCTTCGTTTTGGCGTTCTTATTTTTTGACTGTAGGTGGGTAATCTTGTATTAGACAAGGCTTCTGATCTTCTTTGGGAGACTGGGATACCATTTTGATTTGCATCCCTGTTGGGAAGGGCTGGAAAGTCATTAATATTAGGGATAGGGTTTTCTCTATTTTTTGGAATTTGTTGGTTGGCTTCGAAGTAAGATATGTTTGAAAATGACATTAGTTGCTTGATTTTTTTGTGTCTGTTATATTCAGGGCAATTCAACTCGTTGGAACTGTGTTCCGTAGATTTACAATAAATACAATACTTACTGCAAGTAACATCTGATTCATGGGATTTACCACACTTTATGCATTTGGCCTTTCCTCTACATTGATTAATACGATGTCCATAAAGCAAGCAATTATGACATTGCATTACTGGGGTGATATATATGGTACAACTCTGACTGGGAGACCATAAATTGAAATTTCTTTAGGAATAATTTTTCCTGAAAAAGTAATACAAATCGTACCTCTTGGTACATAGGAGATTTCTTTACCGGATTCCACAACTCTTCTATTTAGACATTTGACATGAAGAAGTTTACAATTCACTAAATGAGTTTCAGTTGCCTCTTCAATTTCATCATCTGTAAAAGATCCGTCCACATACATTACAATCCCTTTGCAAGAGACATTGTGTGATGGAATAAAAACTTCATAACCTTTATTTTCCATTTCTTTATTCTCTATAAATTGGTTGACAGCTTGAGCATTGGTAAAGATCGCACCAATACGGTTTTTCCCTTTTCTTACTATTTTGAGGATATCCTTCAGTTTCAGATTAAAAATGGTTTTTGTTATACTTATTATATGAAGATTTCCTAGATTATTTGTTTTTCCTTGGATATACACTTCGAAGGGGCCCGAGTCTGTGTTCGAATACAAGTTTTTAACCCTCGGCGGAGGATCTGGAGGATCGTTGGCCCCCCAACTCCATGTGGGTTGGAGGTTAAGTTAACCTCTATTTGTTTGTGTCACAAAAATATGTTTATATACAATTACTTACTAAAAATATAAGGAAGAAAAAGGTTGAAAATACACAGGATGTCGTTAGTACACTTCGGATGTCAAAGCAAAAAAAGCGACTTTAAAGTCCTTGTCCGTATACATATTTCTAACCTCATTTTAAAAATCTTAAATTACAGTTCATTTTTTTTGTTGTTTATAATAGTACATAATATGGAAGAGGCATTGGAAATTACTATTTTAGAAGGTTTAGATGACGATGATATTAAATATTTAATATTTAAAAACTTCGAACTGATACGAACGTTGGCGATCGCACCCGAAAACTATATAGTCGCCACTAACTGCTGTCCTTAAACATCCTCAATTAAGCACAGGCACAATCTTTATTAAAGTCAGTTCTAGAATGTAAGTGATCTGCGCTTGCTCAGATATCAAAATAAGAGCGGCACTAATAGTGACTGACCTTAACTGAACTTGCAATAACACTCTATTATGTTCGATATAAAATATTTAAATTCAATCCATTATTCATGATTTTACGTGTTGTAGATAGAATACATCGCAACCCCTTCCTTAGATATACCAACCCTTCCCACGACAGTCATTTTGTTTGGAATGCCTAATAATATTTTTAGTCAACCTTTAACATTAATTTGGTCACGTGGGATGCAGGCATAAATACTCCAAAGATACTTATTAAATTATTATTTTTAGGTTATCCCAGACCCGAAATAGTTTGGTTCAAAGATGGAATTGAGCTTTTATATCACAAATTCTTCCAAGTAGGTATTATATTTACTATAAGTCCTCCGAAGTCATGAACATTTAGTTTCCAAAAAAAGTAAATTATATTAGTTCCTTTTGAAGTGTTCTACTATTTCATTACTATTTTTAGGTGCACGAATGGCCAATTGGAAATGATACAGTAAAAAGCAAAATGGAAATTGATCCTACTACCCAAAAGGACGCTGGGTATTACGAGTGTCAAGCTAACAATAAGTACTCCATTGATTTCAGGGGTTTCAGGACGGACTATGTTATGATAACTTACTGAAATATATTTCATTTTGTAATTATTGTGTTCACATCAATCTTTTGCCGGGCCTATTGTAAATACAAAACCTACATGAAAAAATGTCGTTGTAATGTATTTAATTTTATTTTATTAATAAAAACAATAGAATCAGGAGTGTAAATTGTTGCATCGTGCGCACTGCATTAAGGAATCGTTCAACTAAACGGCGATCAGATCATCCTTTTTTTTTATTTAATAAAATACCCTTTGCGGCGTACGAGGGGTAAATCGCTGGAAAATGTTTGTACACGTTGTACCCCAAATAGTACAGAAATAGTACGTAAATAATACACAAAGTACGCAAGTAGTACAAAAATAGATAATTTCATCGGAAGACATATTATCGTTGTAAGGTCATTTACGCCATCTATCAGTTTATATAGCAAGTAATAGAAGCAGGATTTGATTTCAAAGGAAATTGTATATTATATTTTCTACAATCTGACTAAGGTTACGGCGTAACTATGAAGACTAGAGAGAAGGAGTTGAATCGGCGAATTGTACAATTTTAAATTTTCGTCCTTTTTATGAAGTTCGCCAAAATTACTAGTTGGCGGGTCGTGCGTTAGTGACGTTAATTTTCTATATAAGTCAAATGGAAAGAAAAATAAAGTGTTTTTTAAATAAATTGCAGAATAGAATCAAAACAATGTGGAAAAAAGTACCTGACTATATTCCAACAATTTTTAAATGATGATGACTCATCTTGCGGATTGAACTGTGGTCAACCGGCAACAATGTAATTCTATTATGACTTTCAGAACTAAACTTTTATTTTATTTTATTGTTTATGCTTGGTCAATGCGGAAATTTAAAAAGTGAAATTATTCCATAATATTTACTCCGCGTACAAACATTAAATCTTGCCAAGTTAGGTAAATACTCTGAATCAGCGATAAACTCGTCAATACTAAGAAGGTCTACTGGGAAACCAGTTAGGTATTAATTCAATTGAATAAATCAGTGTCGTAGCGTGAGACAGGTATATGGTTAGTTGTAGTAGTTTATTTTTTTTATCATATCATTCTAATAAATTCGAGGCAAATCGGCTTAAAATGAAACACTTTTACTTTTTAATTACTAGTAAATTTTCTTAAGTTCTCTATACACCCATTATATAGTGACTTTTTAATTTATTAATAACTTAATGATAACAGACTAACCTTAGCGTGGGTACCAGGCCACAGGGGACACAAAGGCAATGAAGAGGCTGATTTACTAGCCCGAGAAGGAGCATCAAATGCTCTTATTGGCCCAGAACCCTTCTGTGGTGTAACAAAAACAACTATCAGAACATGCACAAAGCAGTGGATGTTTAAAAAATCTCAGGAGTGGTGGGAAAACTCACCAGGACAGAGACAGGCCAAAAAGTTCTTAAAAGGACCATCGTCTAAACTCACCGAGCATCTACTAAGCCTTAATAGGAAAAATACTAGAATACTAGTAGGTCTATTAACAGGGCATTGTAGGCTTAACAAACATATGTTCAATATCGGTCTGACAGAAGAGGCCTTGTGCCGATTCTGTCAAGAAGAAGAGGAAACGGCAGAACACGTATTGTGCTACTGCGAAGGTCTAGTAAGACTGAGATTCCTTACACTTGGAGAAGAAAAACCAAGGGCAACTAGCTATACCGGAGAAATACTTTCCAGTCTATGGAGTTTACTACAAAAGACCGCATTAGACAAGGTACTCTAAACAATGATTAAAGGATATCCACAATAGATCTGAAAAGGTCGAGGTGGGGGAGGCCACATGGCCCATAGTCCTAATTAAATCTAATCTAATGATATTATTGGTATATAATCTGTATTTTAGTCGTCTAATTTGTTAATTTTTTAGGTTTTTTATTTTTAATTTCTTCAAAAATAATTTAATATTGATAAAATTTGGTAAAATTATACCTTTATGTCTTAAATAGGCAAAAAAATAAAAAACTCAAAATATTTCGAGATATTAACTTTTTTCTATTCAAAACACTTTTTTAAAAAAAGGAAACATCGTTCGGCAAACAAGACAATATATTATGTGGATGAAACATGGGTGAATGCTGGTCACACAGTATCTAAGATCTGGCAAGATACTACGGTAACAAGTTATCGACAGGCATTTGTGGAAGGTCTATCAACAGGATTACGAGGACCAACTGGAAATGAACAACGACTAATTGTTGCCCATACATGTAGTGGTTTTTTAAACGACAGTGCCTTAGTTTTCTTGTCTAAAAAACGCTTTGAAGATTGGTTTGAAACCCTACTTTCACGGATCGAGCTAAATTCAGTGATAGTGCTTGATAACGCTTATCTCAGTAGAAGGTTGGTTGCGACTCCCTTTACTGAGGACATGGTTAAAGGGGAGCTTATAACCATAATTAAACATCATCGAGACAGATATCGTCAGCATGTTGTAGATACATTGGCTTTTGCTTGACGTATAACCGTAAGGGCGGCGTCTGGCCATATCTCGAAAACTGTTTATCTGGTCAATTTCGCAATTTTTTTTACAAAGCCTTTAAAAGCAAATACTTAAAAATGCTTTTACCTTTGTAACTTTTCGCTATGTCACGTGATATACCACACAATTGTGTTTTCATAAAAAAATCTACGTAATTTTAAACCAAGCTTTCAAAAAAACTAAACAATTCTTTGAAGTGTGATGTAATTAATTATTTTTCTGTGTTGGTTGTACGGGATGTAACGGGAAGACATCATGTAAATATGTTTAGTTTTAAAGAAAATTCTTAAGTCAACGCGATTATATGTGGTTTAGATACTAAAAGTCTAAGTCATTTTTCGAGTACTTTACAACAACTTCGTTTCTTAAAAAGTCTTTACAACCCCTAGGCACACCTCATAAACGGTTTTCAATAATAAAATTAATGCCAGGAAGTATATTTTTCTCGAAAGCTTGGTTTAAAGTCAACCGCGCATATACGGCAGATTTCTATGGGCGAACAGCCAACCTTAAGACTTCCTCCGTACCATTGCGAATTGAAACCGATATAACTTATTTGGGCTCAAGTAAAGGGTTACGTAGGTCGTGAAAATTTGAATTTAAAATTAGTGACGTCTATGAAGACTAGATATAAGGAGGCGAATCGGCCTTGGTCAAATTTCAAATATCCGTCCCTATTTTTATGGAGTTTCAAAAAACGACTATAGTTGGCGGGTGGCAAAATAGCGACGTCTATTTTCTATGCAAGTCAATGGGAATTAAAGTTATTTTTGAAAAATTTAGTGAAAAGAATAAAAATAAGCTGAAATAAAGAACCTGACTACAAGTAACAATGAGTAACAAAAAACGACAAAGCAGGATTTGCTTCGTTCCGGGATGCAAAACGGGATATAAATCCGATATAAAATTTAAAAAAATCACAAGGAGATAAAAATCAAGTCTTTTTAAAGCTCCTAGTGTAAGTAAAATAATGTATTTATTTCTAAATAATATATATTTATTGCAAAATAGTCACAACCCGTATCTTACGGAGTGTAGTTTATTTAATTACAAAATTCTATAATAAAAAATAATAAAGTCATAAATCCTGACTTACAAACAACAATAATTACACATTAAATTTAACTTACTAGAAAAGAAAATTTTTTGATGTTAGATGAAGAGTTACTACTGTTATTTTTCTTTATTGAACTCCAATTTAGTTATTGCAAATATTTTTTATAGGATCCTAAACGTTTAGAACAATGGCAGCATGTGATTTCTAGGGCTTATAAAGTACTGTCTAGTTATGATTCTGTTTGCGAGCTACACTTTTTAGAAGATGATATTTTAAAATTTGATGAGACTATTTTAACTAATGGTACTGTTAACCAAATAAAAATGGAAAGGCCGAGATTCAAGAACGAAGCAATACCATGTATATTCCTGAATCTACCTTCATACTTGTCCAGTATTAGGAAAACCACCTAATTTAAAAGATCATAACTACAATATTACAATAACCTCTCCAGTTATTTTATCTTACGTTTCTGGATACATTGCAAGAAAAGCTACCAGATTTACGAAATGTGAAACTTGCATTCGACAATTAAAAAGTATTGAGCCTCAGTCTAAAGATCAATTAATTACGTTAATAAGTAAAGGGTTTTTAATATACCCTTCTTATTCTCTAATTTCTTTAATATCAATGCTGGAATCGACTATCTTAGAGGTTTTATCAAGAAACCCAGTCCATCAAGAAACTCTTTTTGAAAACTTAAATAAAATTGAAGAAATGGACATTTTATTTGTAGGGTGTGATGAACACAAAGAAAATCTGCAATAATTTGCTTTTACCTAATCAGTAGAATGCATTTTATTTGTTAACAAATTAATAAAATTGATGAAGCTAAAAAACAAAAAGGTAGGTGTCTACAAAAGCAATCAAAACTGTAAATATGTATTTGTAATTTAGATTTAGAAATTATGAAAATGAAAAAACCCTAACTCCCCGACGAAATTATTACACACTCATATCCCCAAAGTGACAGACTAAAAATTGAAAAAGCTGAGAAAAAAAGAAAGAACAAATGCCTGCACGACCGGATCTTTTCAATTTTTCTTTAATTTCTTTTCACTTTGGGGATATGAGAAAGTAATTTTCATAATTTTGTAAGGGGAATTAGAAATTTTTCATTACTTATGTTATTTAAGCGTTTTGCCACTTTTAAGAACAAATTAAATGTCACCATTGTTAGTTGTCGAATACAAAATTACCACAAAACTGTACTTACCAAATTTCACCATTTAACTAACCTTTTCAAATTAGGTCATACCTAATTTTCATTTTATTTAGATAAAATTAAATAATGAATAGTTAATAATGTTTAACATAAAGACTCATTTTTAATGAATACCAACAGTATTTTCTGTACTTTAGTTAGCAATTAAAACAAAGACTAATTTACAATATATAAAATCAACAGTATTTTCTGTGCTTTAGTTAGCAATAAACAATTTGATTTTTATTATTTTCATAAAATTTTGTTAAATCCCTAACTAAATATTTTCATTTAAACCGTGTCTTAGTATGCCCTCAGCCCTATTTAGCTTTA